GAGATATCTTAAAAGTGAATCACACTTTAATTCTATTATTATATCTCAAAAGAGGGAAGTGAGGTTCTATTCTGTTCTTTGTGGGTTATATTTCCTTTCATCACGTAGTTCTGAGCCCCCCAAGTACATAACTTGTTCTTTTTAAGGAGACCAGAGTGGAGATTGGAAACCCAAATCTTCAACAACCTTTAAATACATTGCAGATTTATTAGTAGACTCAAGTCCAGATTTGATAGAAAAAAAAATGCTCAGAAGTATCCCAACACTAATTTCCCTGACTTGTACCCTGTTCTTGTTAGATGAGCTGGGTTTCACATACTGGGGACTGGGTGTATTTCCTCTCTGAGCCTGTTTCCAGGTCTCAAGTCTAAGGCAAGGGGTTAGCAGGAGATGAAGCTGAAGGTGAAGATGGAGAGGGGGTGATTTCTCTGGACCAGAAAGGCCAGTTTTCATCATTTTGCGTAGATTTCCTTCTTATGACACCAGGAATTTTTGCAATGCAGATGGTTTATGCAGATGGTCCTAGCTAGTCACTGAAGTCCAAGAAAAGTAGCAAAGACCCCATTTGAGGTCCCTGAGGTTACAGGGACCCTGAAGACAGTTAACAGGGCCCTTATTAGTCATCATGGGCCCCGAGGAGATCAATCTGGGGCACAAGAAGGCTAGAGCAGGCACCACATGGCTCAGTCATCCTACCCCGAGCAGAGAGTCTCTCTGTTGTCAAACTTGAATGATCTGGGTGTGATTTATTACAGGACCAGAAAGTTTTCCTGCAGAAAGGGCCACAGAAATCCAGCTGTGACTGGCAATGACTCCGAGGGGGACCTTCCCCTGATGCCAAAGGCGTAAATAAGTTCTTCAGGAAAGACTCATTGATTTTGTTCTCCAGAGATAGAAGCAGAGAGTGGAAGCTAGAAGGGAAGAAGCAGGTGTAGCTTCAGGGGAGATTTAGGGAAAGGAATCCAGCATCACTAGACAAAGGGAGAGGATGGACAACCTGACAGCCTTAGCAAATGCCACAGGGGGTTTTGAAGCCAAGATGGGCTCTCTGACTTGTGGAGAGTCAAGGTGAGTGGCTGGAACTTTATGCCCTGGTGTGATGAGTCATTGGATGCCAGCTGCTGTAGGAAGGGGATGTGGCCTCGTGTGAGGAGGCTGTCTTCAATAAAGGTGACTCGCTAAGGACTGGGAGCACTCCCCTCCACTAGTGGAGTAGGTCCTTCATGCTTGAGGGGGGTTCTGGACAGGACTAGGGGAGCCTCTTTTTAGGAATGACCTGGGGTATCCTGTGTTGTGCTCTTGCTTGTCCTCAACATTCTTGTTTGGACAGCTGGATTTACTTGGGACGAGGACAGAAGGACTCCAAAGGACTATCTCAAGGCCTGCATTGCTAAGCCTCTGGCTGGTGTGCATGTCTGTGTCCTGCAAAGGGTCTGGCTACTGACAGTCATATGGAGAGGCCTTACTTGCAGTCCCCCATTGACAAAGGTGCATCCCATCAGCTCTTTGGATGATGACAGGGTATAATTTCCATTTACAGAGCACTCAACAAGTGTCTAGCTCTTTACCTCCATTATCATGAATGATCACACCAAACTAGTGGCTCAGGTATTATAAACTTGACTTACAAAGGAAGGGCCAGCTAAGGCTTTGAGAAGGTACATTTGTGCAAGGACCCATGGTTGTAAATAGCAGGGCCAGGTTCTGGGATCTTCCCTAGCTCCAGGCAAGATGATATCCTGGGCGCTGGACTTTAGAGAACCTGCTAGCTCTGCCCTCATCCCCTTCCCACCCAGAACACTGCCTCCCACCCATGCTCCAGGTATCCACACTCTGGACTCCCCTGCCCAAACAGTCCCAAGCCCCCTTACAGGTCTGCATGGCCCCTTTGCTTGGTTTATTCTTCCATAATGCATTCTGTGCTGCAAGTCTGCACAGCCCCAACTCTGAGGGGAAGCCAAGGGGCTTGTTGTCTGCAGGGGCTGTGGACAGAGGTTACACATGTATGGGTTCATGTGGAAAAGTCCACATACACGTCCAAAAGGTCTCTCACATTGCTGGATGGAGCTGGGTGTGTGTGTGTGTGTGGGGGGAACAGGGAGGACCAGACCAGCAGGGCTCACCCCTGATAACCAGATTCCAGCCCAGAGATCCAAGAACTGAGAATTCCAAACCTGAACTTTATTATAGAACCATTATGAAGGTCTCTTTGTCAAAGTAGGAAGATATAATGTGTTTCAGTGAATAGTTAGGGCTTGATTTTTTGTCTTTAACTGTGTTGATGAGAGGACTGGAGACCTCCCTGTGTGCTCCTGACCCAGCCCTTCTAGGGTGCATCTGTGGTCAGCTGTCTCCTTCACTATGCCTCATCCCATCTTTCACTCTATTCACTATGTTCTTGAAGGTTTGGAGGAAGAGGGAGAAACTTGACTACTCTAGTCATTGGCCAAACTTTTCCTCAGTCACAGATCCTGATGTTCTGTAGGTGAGTTATAGGCATGAAGGGAGCAGCTCTGTAGATTTCCACTTCTTGGATATATCAGAGTGTGGCTGGAGTTAACAGTCCAAGAAATCTTATCCCCAACAGACTATTTTCATGGGACCCTCCTCTCCTTCCTCAAGCCCTTCCTTGACTATACTCCCTCTACCTTCCCCAGTTCCTCATCAGTCATGGGCCACTCCACTCCTTACTGAGCCATTCCCACCCTCTCCCTTTTCCTGAGGTTCTCTTACTTGCACAGGTGACCACTTGAATAACCTTAGGAACCACTGGTTTTCCTTCTTGAGGATTTGGCATTTGCATAGAGGATTCTAGAATGCCTCTGTGGCTAGTAGGGATTTAATGGTTTGATGTCTGACACGGTGAGTTATGCTCATGAGACGCTTTTTTCATTTTTAACTAAATCCATCCAAAAACAGACAAAAATCTCTTTCACAGTGGGCACTTCTTTTCCTTGTGAGATTGTGTGAGTGTTGGTGTGCCAAACTTTAGTTGTACCCTTGCAAAGGTAGGCACTTTGTGAACCTATGTATTTTGGAGGGTAAGGTGGTGCATTTCTGGAGGCTGAGCCTTTCACTTGATTTGTTCTGCCTGTGTTTTTCCAGCTCTGCCAGTCAGACCAGCACCAACACAGTCAGAGCAGCCCAAAGCCAAGTCAGAATTTAGGGCTTATGGTCCCTGAGGCTCCCAGGTCTGCATTAGGCTGGTTGCATTGGCACTGCCACATGAGAAGTGTATCAGGAACACAAAATTGTGGCAGTCCTGAGCATAGCAAGCCAGTGGCTTTTAGGAGCGTTATATCCACCCTTGGCTTCACAGAGCTATTTTAGGCTGCTTCTCAGCAGACCTCAGTTAACCTGAAATCCATTTCTACCTCTTCAGCCTTGCCTAGTTTCTTTCTGCTAGGGAATTCAAGCCAGCTAGCTGGTTGATGCTCTCTTTTAGAAGGATTATAAAGCACCCATGGCCACTGGTCAGTTTTCCAGTTTTCATTCATACTCAGCCATTCCATCATCCTGAGTCTTTTTGATCTATATTCATTGGAATGAAGCTCTGGATGGCCCACATCAAAGCCACTCCTGGAGGAGACCTGCAGACTCAGGCAGACCCCTCATTGTCACTGTGACTGTTAGCCAGCAAGAGAGGAGATGACTCTCAGATGGACAGTTTACCTGCTTGTTGGCAGTATTGCCTGGAGATTTTGAACTGTGAACTTGGGCCAACCCCAGACACCCGGTTGGCAGATGGTATGCTTCTCTTCCTTGACTGTGTAGAAGAGAACATTAAGTGGCCAGAGGCAAACCCCAGTGCCAACATTTGAGCTGTGACTTTTTCCTTCCCCCTGTTTCCTGGGGCCAGTGACTTCAGTCTTCAGACCTAAGGAACTGTTTACTACCTTACTTCCTACTCCTTCTGGCTCCATGCATCCAAGAGGAGAAGTAGATGGGGTTCAGGCAGATCCAGGTTTGTAGCCAAACTGCATACTTAACAGTGTGGACAAGCAACTTGACTTTTATAAATATCAGTTTCCTTGCCTGTAAAATAGGACTCATGGGAGAAGGAGCTGGCGGTTTGCAGCCTACACTAAGATGGCAGTGAGTCACCTTGCAGTACCAGAATCCACTAAGTTCACCGGAGGCTGCCAGGGCACACCAAGAGTTGACTCTGGAACTCTGACACTTCTAGTTTCACCAGAGATTCACCCAGGGATTAATTTCTGTCCATTGCCTAGGAGATTAATTTCTTCCATGCTCTGTGTGGGCAGCTGCCCTGGTCAGACCCTTGAACTTCTGTCCTCTGTGTTTTAGCCTTTGGTGGCAATAGGGTGAGTCCACTGATTGGAAGATCTGAAGGTGATTCCTGCTTCTGTCAGGTACCAGTAACACCAAGCAGAGCCAACTCTTCTCTGCCCCTGCATTCCCTAAGGGCCAAAATGACCCTGGCTGCATATTATGTCTGTGGGATGCTGTGAGACTCTGAAATGAATCCAATGAGGTCCCAGCCACATGGTCCACAGTAATAGCTAATGATGTTGATATGAGCATAATTAGAAACCTGGTCATATGTAAGTTTAGAGTCTCTCTGGACTCGATCTTATTACCTATAAAAGGAAGGGTTTGGGTCAAATTGACATTCCCAGAGTGATTCCCCAAAGCGTCTGTGTTTATGTGAATTTGGTAAAGGCTACACTTAGAATACCCCTTGTTGTGCTCCACAGGAAGAATCTGCCAGAAATAAACCTATGTAGCTTTGATTAACCCAGACTTTACTAATTTAACTACAGAACCTCATTATTGTGACCACAATGACTACTGATATTATTATTCTGTTGTGATTTATATTACTTGCTATACATAACTCTATTTACCTGTATAAAACAGGCCCTGGGAAATGGCCAAGTGAACAGGTGAATGGGTATCCTGGCAGCTCTTGTGGACACTGATCAAACACTTTGAGGGACTGAAATCTCATGGGTCACACTTGCCTTTGTGCCCCCCAGGTGCCTTCCTGATCCCATACACCCTGTTTCTCATCATTGCTGGGATGCCTCTGTTCTACATGGAGCTGGCTCTGGGGCAGTACAACCGGGAGGGGGCAGCCACAGTGTGGAAGATCTGCCCTTTCTTCAAAGGTAAACAACCAGCCTGGGAGAAGTCAAAAGTTTTTCCCAAATCCTTCCCTGTTGACCCCAGGAACTCTGCTCCAAAGGTGAGATATACGATAGATCAACTCTCATGTGAGATTCACAAATATTGATAAAGTCAAGAGCATCCACTATTCAAAGTCACACAAAGAATATTTGGAGTTAACAGAATAGTATTAGCATAGAAAGTCTGAAAACCTGAACTCCAGTCCAGGCTCTTCCAGCTGTGTGACCAGAGTCTATTTTTATGCATAGGAAATACTTAGAGAAGTGGCAGAAGTACTCAACACACATCCCTCTACTCTCTATTGTTACCACCATGTCACACATGATACACTGATGCTGGATCTTTTAGAGCTCAGGCAGAAAGCTGCCTCACATGAAATTCCTAATACAACATCCACAGCTTGTTGCTTGCAACTAGGATCTCAGATGAGTCTACTTGGATCTGAGTCTTAGAGCATGTCTGCAGAAAGTAGCCATGTTTAACAAAAATACCTTACATATTCATGGCTTCTTTAAAGGTCCCAGAGAAGAATCTCATTGGCTTGATTTGACACATATGCTCATCTATTAACCAATCACTATGGCTACAGGGAAGGCTCTCTGATTGGCCAGGCCTGCATCATGTACCCATGATTAGATAAAGGATTCAGGTGATTACCCTCACCCAAACCTCACAGGCCAAAACTTGCTTAAGGATAATTCTTTAAATCAATGCTGGGAAGGCAAGAAAAAAAATTGTATTCTCTATGATAAAGCCACAGAACTAGTCCTAATGGGGCTTCCTATACATTCAGAAAAGTAATATATTGGCCTATGAAGCAGGTGATTGAGAGAAGGACCCACAGAGCACACAAGGCTGAGTTCTTATCAGGGAGTTCTTGGTTAGGGTTACCTTGGGAGCAGATCTTGAGGCAAGAACTTAAATGTAACAAATTATTTGGGGAGCTGGTCCCAGGGATAAGGAAGGAGAGGCAGCCCATAAAAGGTATGTCATCAGGTCAGTTCCACCCTGAATGAGATGGAGTGTGAAATATTCCACCATGTTTTCTAGACAAGAGGTGAGGGAGTTCAGCTACTCTGACTCTTGACATAGCTGCTCCCTGGGGTATAACTCCTGATAAGCGGGTGAAGAGGGCTGCAGTAGCAAGACAGAATCCCCAAGAAAAGGGATAGTGGTTGCCTGTGGAATATGAAGGGGTTCTGACATTCTACTACAGAAAAAGAGGGGGACAGGTGTTTGGGAGTGCAGTGGTTAGAGCCAACTTCCCTGGGTCAGTGGCTCTAAGGCTGGGCCTAGGGAAGCCAGACCTCTGTGCTGTGTTCTCACACAGGAGTTGGCTATGCTGTGATCCTTATGGCCTTCTACGTTGGCTTCTACTACAATGCCATCATCGCCTGGTCATTGTACTACCTCTTTGCCTCCTTCACTTTGAACCTGCCCTGGACTGACTGTGGCCACGCCTGGAATAGCCCCAACTGCACTGATCCCAAGCTCTTCAACAGCTCTGTGCTGGGCAACCACACCAAGTACTCCAAGTACAAGTTCACACCGGCAGCAGAGTTTTATGAGTAAGTCATGGACTCCTCATGTTGCATGCACTAAGGCCTGGGCAAGATCTGAACCAAACACTAAGGAAAACCATGAGAGAAGGAAGTAGCTCGCTAGTCAGCATTCATGATGGCACAGGCTGAGTTAGAGGACAAGGATACAAAAGTTGAAGGAGCTTCTGGGGTGGGGCAGGAGAGTAGAGATGGAAAACCAATATCCCTGCAAACAGATGAGAAACCAAGCAGGTATTAGAGAGTAGATGCGCCCTTTAGGAAGTAACAAGCACTTTGGAGAGGGAAGTTTCCTTAAGGAACTAAAACGAGGGATGTGGGAGAAGTTTATTGTGGGAGGATAAGAGACTTTAGCTTGGGTGGGCAGGAAAGTCTATCGGAGGTAGTGACACAGGAACTGATGCTGTCAGCCAAGGATACATCTAGAGGGTTAGGGAGTTGCAGTTGAAACCCAAGTCAACTGGACTCTGGAGCTGTCCTCTGCCTACCTTGTGGTGCTGTCCCTCAAGGGCTTCCACGGGGAAAGTTGTTGGAGCTTGAGAGCAAAATTAAAGCAGGCAGCTTAGTGAGAGTGCTTGAGCTGCCTGTGTATAAGAGGGGCTCTGGCTGCTTGTGGAACATAGAAAATTGTTAAAAATTAAGGAAAGGAAGAAAAAGTTGAGATGATTTTATACATAGAAAAGTTGTTACAATAGTGTACTTACCTGTCATCCAACTTCCCTAATGGTGACACCTTATATAACTGGGGAACAGTTATGGAAACCAGTAAATTATCATTCACATAGTACATATTAGCTAGTCTAGTACAGACCTCATGTAAATTTCACCAGTTTCCTTGCTAATGCCATCTTCTGGTATTTAGTTATCCTGGCTCCTTAGCCTCTTCCAATCTGTGAAAGTTCTTTGCTCTTTCCTTGAGTTTCCTGATCTTGACACTTTTGGAGAGTGTTGGCCAGTTTTTCTGTGAACTATTCCTCAATTCAAGTTTGCTTCTTGCTTTTTCATGATTAGATTGAGGGTATGCATTTTGAGGAAGAAGTGCATGGAGAAAATTTGGCATCTTTCTCAGTGCATCTTGTCAGGGAGTCAGAGCAAGAATCATTAATATAGTGCTTATCTGTTATGATTTCTATTTCCATCATCCCAACTAGATTAACTGATTGCAATCCGTGTGTGTGTGTGTGTGTATCAGTATAGACTCCTGGAAATTTATTTTATTCTATAAAATAATCTATAACAATCCTTATTTAACTTGTTGCCCTTTTCATGCTCTCAACACTACTGCATCCTTTTATGTCTTTGAGGAAGGAGATAGTCAAATTGGTCTTAGCCACCAACAATTTTAAATATTTACCTTGTGCTGTGCTGAGAATGCAACATCTATGGTAATATCTACTCTACTGTCTTGGTCCCTGGGGCATACATGAGTAACACTTGAGCGACCTCTATTACACGTGTTAGCAACCAAGCACAAAATATAGGTTATAAACTGTGAGGCAGGGCAGATAAATCCCACCGGAACTTTATCCTCAGGTTATATATGATCTAGAGCAAAAGTTCCCATACTGTTCTACATACTTTGGGCCTTGCAGCCTCTACAGTTCCCTGTTACATAATCTTCTTGTTTAATTTCACTTTTTAAAATACTAAAAGCCATTAGCTGACATGTCATATCTGAGCAGGTCTTAACCCAGATTTGTCTAGGGGGCTGTGTGGTTTGCTGATTCTTGGTCTAGCACAAAATTTCCCAATAAAACTTTCTAAGATGATAGAAAAATTCTAGACTTGCATGGTCTGATGCATTCACCATGTGTGGGTTTCAGAAGTCAAAATATGGCTAGTGACTGAGGAACTGAAGATTTAATTTTATTCAATTTTAATTCATTTATCTCTCAATAGACATGCAACAGTTACTATCATGTGGGGAAGCACAGGAGTAGAGCATGAGAAAAAATTTTAGGGTCACTCTGCTTCATCCTATGGATTCCCTAAGCCAAAGATCTAGAAATGAGTCCAGATTATTTGGAGTTTGGAGCTATCCTACAATCATTTCTACTCTTGCCATCTCAGTGCAACAGGACCAAGGAGGTCCTGTTTGGTTAAAAACAATCTCTGTAAAATCTGGTGTCTCCTAAGTCAAGGGGTATCAGCATCCTCAGGAACCAGGAACTACCCTCAGTGGGCCATCATGGAGAATTTATAAAGGGTCCTTTGCCAGCATGTCTGCTTGCCTCCATATATGACCCTGATAGACTTCCAGAAGGTGAGTGCAAAATTATATGGGCCCATAGTTGTGCTCAAATGCCTCTGTAACTCCCCAAAGGATCTTGTTATTTAAAGTGAACATCTGATGTAAGTAACCATACTAATTATCTTCTTTGCTGACATATTAACAGCTAACCACTCTGCCAGCTTCTTCATATGAATTATTTCGACTGAGGCCTCATACCAATGTACTAAAGTTTCTGTAACCCTTATCTTTCCTGCACACACAAAGAGGCTTCACAGATCAGACAGAAAAGCCCATGGCCACATGGCTAGTTCTGTGCAGAGACAAGATTTGGACCCAGACAGCACTTGACCTTGGGCATGAAGCCCCTGAGAGTGAGCATCTGCTTTCATTCTGGATCTGGGGGCCTGACTCTCCTCACATTGGCCCCAGCCCTGCCAAGCAGTAAAACTGAAAAGTGTGTCCCCTTAACCTATGTGCTGTGCTGTGTGCTATAAATGGTTATTATTGAGAGATGTTGCCAGAGTCACAACCTGTATTTATCCATTGCTTAGTTTTTGTCCCAGTCATTGTTCAAAGTACATTTTCTATACTACCTTTTAAAAATGACCACAGAGGCCTAAACTTATTCTTATTTTATGAATGAAGAAATGGGCACAAAGCAGTAAGTGACTTGTGCGAGGTCATCCAGGTTAGAAATGACATTCAAAGTGAATTTGAACCCAAGCAGTCAGGTTGCAGGGCCAAATCTCTTAGCTCAGTGGTTCCAATCTTGGTTGCACGTTAGAATCACCTAGAGGGCTTTAAAACATACGACTACCTGGATGTTGTGCCCCAGAGACTCGGTCTCACACATCTGGGTGCAGCCAGAACATGTGGATTTTTATTAGTAGCTTCTCCCATGATTCTAGTAGGAGCCAATGTTGAGGGCCCTTGTCTTAGCTATGGCACTCCCCTGTCTCATAATAAGGTACCCATAGGGGTCAGGTTGACATCTCTACAGTCTAGTGTCATGGAAAATTGGGGACCTCCTTTCCTCTTCTCCCAAGAAGCATGACCTCAGAAGATCCCAAGAATGTTGGAGAGCTTTCAGATGGAGGTTTTAGGCTTCCTGTTTTATGAGTGCGGTTTAGACAGGGAGCCGATGAGGATGGAGGGGAAGGGGGCTGTTAACCCATGTGATTTGTTACATGCTTCCCCCTTGTCCTCTCAGAGAGGAAAAAGCATGATTTTTTCTTTGGCTTTTGATAATCTCAGTTCTTATAAATCAAAATAGAAATAGATAGCTTTATCATCTCTAGTGTAGTTAGTATCTGATTTTTGCTTTGACGTCTTTATGGCCAGCATGTCTACCCTGGAAGAGACACCCAGCAGGAGGGAGAAATGAGTTGGGTTTGGAGATCCTGGTCACTTTGATTGTAGCCTAAATTTCCCCCAGGCCTAGCTGTGAGCAGAATGTGGTGGAAAAATAGGACATTTTTCTGTGTATGGCTGAAGTGGTTTGGGAGAGTATAGTGGGAAAAGAAAGAAGCCTTAATTCTGCAGTCTTCTGCCCTGTAGACTTCCTTTCTCCTCTCCTTAACTCACCCCCCACTCTTGCAATCTCATAGCTACCCTGAACCAGGTCCCAGCATCTCTTCATATCCAAATTCCATTTAATCTTCGCAGTTTGTGGAGTTGGAAGTTACTCCCATTTTCTGAAAAGATAGTGGAGTTTGAGGCATGTAGCAGAACTAGGATCTGAATCCACATTGTCAGACACAAGGCTCTGACTGCATATGCAGCCTGTCTTCTATCTTTCTCCTCTGTCCTGTTAGAGTCTCCAGTGGGGCAGTATTGGAGACAGGAGTGCAAGGGTGTCTGCAGGCTGATAGGTGATCTGCTCATGCATCTCTTTCTCACTTCAGCCCTGCCTGTGTGCTTCATTGAGGATGACACTAACTCATAGGCTGCCTCTCCATTTTTTTATGTCACATGGCTCTTTTGTCTAAATGTTTATTCCTTAAAACCACTCAGCTCAGCTTGTGAAGCCAACAATTGGGACTCTCAATGCCAACCCTGAGGAGATCAGATGATTTTTTTCTTTCCCCAGACCTCCTGGCCAACTCTGTTACCATCTTGTACTCATTTAGGATGACAGAGTGAACATATCATTCAAGAGAACAAAACTGCTGTTCTCCCCAGGCTCCGGGCTTGAAGCCAAAGAGCTCCACAGCTCAAAAGAGACTCTGTGGCTCTAGCTTTATCTGTGAAAGGGCACTTTTGGGGAACATGTGTTGGCAATAGAAAACACCTATTCCATGCTGGCTCCTGGTGAGGAAGAGAGGTCTCCCTTTACCCTCATACTAACCCTTTGTGCTTTTAAATGTCAAGTGAAACATTGAGCCCTTTTGGCCCATAGGCTTCGGAAAGTCTGGATAGTTCCCTCAATGGTGATTCATGTTCATTAAATTGCTGGAACACCACAACAAACCCAAGTTACTTATATCAAACCCCATGGCTTGGGCATACCAGAAGAATGGATTCTCATTTCTTCTCCTGGAGATCAGCTCCAGACTCTGGATCTTTTCACTGAAGAAATAGCTAGACAACCACTGCCACTCTGAAATGGCCTTCAAATGCATGTGGGGTCAGCCAGACTGAGGAGGGTGCATTTCAGCCATCTGTTTGTTCACCAGAGGTGTTTTTTAGCAAGTTTCAGGGCAAGCACAGGCAGTTTGGCAATTTTTTCATAATTTTCATACTGAAAGCAGTGAAATCCTTAATACTTGGCACATAAAACCATAGGATAATGAAGAATTAAGCATTAGGTGGTGTCAAGATGTCCTCAATCTTTGGATATGTCCAGCTACACTTTTCCCTTTCCTTCCCTTCCCTTCCCTCCTCTCCTCCCCCCTCCTCCCTTCCCCTCTCCTTTCTTCCCTCCCTTCCCCTTTTTTCCTTTCTTCTCCTTTCCTCTTCCTCCCTCCATTTCTCTCTTGGAATAGGGGAAGGGTCTAAGTCAGGGGTGATTTTTGAGTTGATACTAGCAAGACAGAGCTTTCCAGGCTGGCAAATTGGGTTGGGGATGTGTCCTAGGCTGTAGGAACAGAAGGTCCTCATGCCCAGAGCTCCAAGAGCATCTGATTATTGTGTAAAAGTGACTCGCTATTGCCAGGAACAAAGGGCAGGGTGTGGCAAAGTGGGGATGAACTTGGCAGGAGGTGGATTATGACAGACATCAGATTCTGAAAGGCTTACATGTGTGTCCTGTAGACCAGAATCTCACAACCTTGATGCTTTTGATTTGGGATTGGATAATTCTTTCTTGGGAAGTGGGGGCAGGATGAGCACTTCCTGTTCATTTGGATGTTAGCAGCATCCTTGGTCTCTACCCACTAGATACCAGCACCATCCTCCTTCTCTCCAGATGCATAATAGCCAAAAAGATCTCTGGACACTGGGGAGCAAGATTGTCCTGTTGAAAACCACTGTTTTAGGTAGTAAGAGTTGTTGGAGGATTTAAGGTCTGATGAGTTACAGTGACACTTCAGATGGGTTGCTATACAGTTGTACAAAGAGTGGATTAAAGGAAGCCAGCAGGAGGTAGAGACCAGGGTTGGGGAGTGATGGGGATAATTTTCAATTGTCCTGGAGGGAGAGAGTATAGGTTCAGCCTGGGATAGGGCCAGTGAGTTTGGGGGAAAGTGGGGAGCAGATCAAGAGATAGTACTAGGATGGCCAGACACAGTGACCAATTGCACGGAGTGATGATGAACAATGAGCAGTTCAAAGCCACGACAGTTGGCTTGGGGTTCTGAGGACAGAGGTTGTTCTGGGAAGGAGACCTCTGTCTTGGTGGATCTTCATCATCTACACAACTCTGCTCACTTTTCCACATATGCTCACATGCTCCTTTCCCTACACCGCCAACGCACCTACGCACCCCCATCAACTCATCTTATTCTTCCGGAGGCCAGCAGAGAAAGCTCCAGCCACCTCCCCAGCCAAGCCCACCCAGTTGACTCCTGAGGCTGAGCTTTGATGGCATTCCTTGTCTCCTTTGCTGATGCCTGCTGAGGTGTGGACCCAGTCATAGTGACAATTACAGTGGCCATTGTGAACCATTTCCTAGGTTCCTGTAGTGTCTCACACCATAATTTAATCCTCATGGGAGCCATTTTACTGAAATGGAAAAGGGCTCAGAGATGGGGAATGTTTGCATAAGTATTGTCCCATTGCTTGGGAGCTCCATGTGGAGTTTTGCCATCATCAACTTGTCCACAGCCATGTCACCAGCCTCCTACACGTTGCCTGGCTCAGAGTAGAGTTCTGAAAGTCTGTGGAAGTCATGGTGGGAGGTACCTATTATACCTGCACTCTGGGAGGCTAAGGCAGAAAGATAGTAAGTTCAAGTCCAGCCTGAGAACTTAGTGACTTAGCAAGATCTCATCTCAAAAAATATGAGAGAGAGAGAGAGAGAGAGAGAGGAAGAAAGCGAGAGAGAGAAAGGCTGGGATGTAGCTCGATGTGAAGGTCTTGGTTCAATCCTCATAACACACACACACACACACACACACACACACACAAATGCGCTAAAGGTCACACAGGTTCTGAGCTCAGAGCCAGAATGAGAGCCAGGTTTGTCAGACCCCAAAGCCTGAATAACTTCTGTGCCACATTCTTCTACCCTCTTTCATGTTCTTACAAATAGTAAACATCTCTTATTAATGTATGGATGGATGGATGGATGGATGAAACATACATAGCATCAATGATGGTTTTCATCTTCCCAGAAATAAACTTTAAATTCTAATAAAGGATAAGCTAGACATGTTTCCACCCTTGAGGTGTACATTTTCTTCATATGCTTTGAAACTTCTGGGGCCTTTCTTACTGCTTCCAGAAAAGGCAGTCATTGACCTCTTTTCTGTGGGCTCCTTGGACCAAGCAGGCTCCCAAAGTACTTACAAGTCCACTTCTTAGAAGCCTCTCTGAGCCTTCTGTTCCTCAAGTACTCTACTTCTTTGACAGCTCTGTTTTGCTCCAGCAGACCTGTAATTTGAGTGGACCTCTGACCCTTTAGGTCCAAGCTTTACCTGTCCTTTGGCATCACCTGGGAAATTTGGGATTCTGGTACCCAGGCCTAATTGCACAAGAATTCTAATTTAACTGGTTGATAGTGAGGTCCACATAGCAGTAATTTTTAAATAAGAAAAATGTTAAAAGTTTTATTTTGACATTAGTAATTTTTAAATGCTCCCAAGTGATTCTAATGTATGGGTTGAGAAGATTGTCCCTGTTGAAAGGTCTCAAATTATATTGATCCTCCTTACTTGTACTTCTCCTTGGAGATGAAGGAGGAGGAAGGGGAAGAGGAGAAAGGTAAGAAGGGGAAGAAAAGGAGAAAGAAGGGATGATAGAGAGACAGATAGACAATCAACTGACCTATCCACTGCAGTATGTAACATTTTTGCCATCAATGAGTCCTTCTTATGGATTAAGACATCACTCCAGGGAAGAACAATATATTAAATCAGTTTGCCTCTAGCCTATTTGTATGGATTTATCAATCAGACTCTTTCTGAACAGATCTCACTCCAAGAGAAAACACCTATAAAATAAGTTCTGGGCCGAGGATTTAACTCAGTGGTTCTGCCACCTGCCTCACAAGCGCAAGGTCCCGAGTTCAATCCCCGGTACCAAAAAAAAAAAAAAAAAAAAAGTCAACTTCCTATATGGGGAAGTACATGGTTGCCCTGAGCAGTATGAAAGAACTGCACTGAACACGTTGGAAGTTTACCATAAGTCTGGGAAGGAGATGCTAAGAGAAGAAGTGAGAGTGCAAGAATTTGATCGTCTTTTCTTCCAATTTCTCCTTGAGGTGGCCTCATCTTTTATTAGAAGATGGATTGCTGGGGCTTGCAAAAAAAGTTGGGACCATTTATCTTTTCCTAACCCAATAATCTGCTATGAGCTAACAGGTACAGCTGCTTTTCCTGGGCTGAACACTGGGGACCTGGGAGTGATTTATTTACCTCTACATCTCTGGAGAGTATTTTACAGTCAGCCTTCATATCTGTGAGCATTCCAGGATTCAGCCACAGTGATTGCAAATATTTGAAAACAAATCACACTAGTACTGAACATGTACAGACAATTGCTTCAGTTTCCTTTAAATGATAGAATATAACAACAATTTATAATAGTATCCCCTTTGTATTAGGCATCATAAATAACCTAGAGATGATTTAAAATACATAGAAGAATATATGTAAAATACAATGCTATTTTATAAAAGGGACTTGAGCATCCACAGATTTTGGTGTCCATGAGGGGATCTTGGAGCCATCTTCCATGCATACAATCAATCTTGATGCCATAGGAGCCCCAGGAACTGAAAAGATTAAAGATTTGTCTCAAGGGTAATCAGGGAGCCCCCTAGGAGGAAGAGACTTTGGAGCTGATCCTTTAAAGATGTTGTTGGGCAGTTGGCAGTAAACTACACCATGAGGGCGTGAGACTCCGAGGAGGGTGGGGTAGAGATGCATTCTGGGGACCCCCTGCAGCTCCCTGGACTCTCCGAAAACTTGCCACATTTTATTTTTAATTACATTTAATATTACTTCCAGGATATAAAGAATTTAAGCCCACTGAAGCAGGGGCTGTGTGCAGTAGTTCCCTGAGTATGTCTGAGGGTCAGCTGTGGGGAACCCTCAGAGATGAGGGCATGATTTGGTTGCGTAACAAATGCCATGCCAAGCAAGGTGTCCCCATTCTTCCTGCTTCATCTTGCCAGGGTATGGTTTTGTCAGTGGGGAGGGACCTCCCTTCCCTGGGGCCTGCCATACTGTTTCAGCAATTAGTCTCATTTGACCTTGACCCTAAGTGACTTTAATGATTAGATTCTAATTAGCAAGTGATCATTTTGTTTTCAGTTCTGTTTATGATTCCTTCATTGTAGAGTGTATGAAAGACATTAATATTTTCAAACTTCCACAGTGTTTATTGTTGGTTTGGTACCTTGATCTAAAAATACTACACTTATTGAAGGATAAAATATTCCAGAGAAGTGAAGTCATCAAATGACAGGTCATTGAATGTCACAACCATATGATCAACACCCAAATTAGGAATAAGAACATGACAAGTGTACTAGAAAACTGGGTCCCCTCTAAGCTGTAACCCTCACTCTCCATCCCAGGGTATACCTTTTTTGACTTCTAACCTCTTGGTTTAAACTTACCTTTAGTTGTATAGCACTTTAAATGAATAGAATTCAACTTCTGTCTCTTCTATGTTCTTTTGGCTTTGACTTCCATCTTAGTCATGTTTTTTGTTGCTGAGACACAGTGAGACGCACCACAATTTAAAGAAGGAGAGGTTAATTTTAGCTCATAGTGACAGTCTCTTGTTGACTGGCTTCAAGGCAGAAATGCACAGTGAAGGGCCTTGGTAGAGAAAAGATGCTTTGCCTAATGGTGACCAGGAAACAGAGCAAAGGGAGGATGTAGGGAGGGAGAAAGATATACCCAGTGGCCTTCCTTCTCAGACCAGGCCCCACCTTCCAACAGTACACTCAGCTGTTGATGAATTCACTAATGAATACAGCACCCCTATGTTCCCAACACTTTCCAAAAGCTCAGCACATGAGAGTTTTGCTGGACATTCTGGCTTGAAACTGTAACATCTACCCTGATGCCATCTTCCCTGGTCCCCTTCTCTCTCCTCTGAGCAGGCGTGGTGTCCTGCATCTTCACGAGAGCAGCGGGATTCACGACATTGGCCTGCCCCAGTGGCAGCTCCTACTCTGTCTGATGGTCATCGTCATCATCCTGTATTTCAGCCTCTGGAAAGGAGTGAAGACATCAGGCAAGGTAATGCCTCTTAGTTTCTCTACTTTGGAGGAGGTCGGTTTTGAAAAGAAAATACTTTTCCTAGCTATAACCATATGGTTGTTGAAAAGCCAAGTTGGAATTAGGAGAGTACTGAGCTTGGGTCAGCTTGAGGTCTGTCTTTGATATGACAACTCATCCCTTTTCTAAGCCTAAGTCTACCTGACAGCAGGAGTGGATACAAGTAGATCAGGACTCATTGTTTCCTTTTAAAGCTCTGCAAAAAGCAGAAGTCAGGGAATGGGGCATTACCAAGAGCCTTGAGCCAAAGCCTAATGCTACTGTTGACATGTCTTTGATATATTTTGAATTCTGGACTAAAACTTCATACAAATGTTGCAGCCTATTTTGAAATATAACCTTTTACTTTACTATCAAATCAATAAATCCCTCTCCCCTAAATTTTTGAGTAAAAGCAAATGCTCCAGAAGATATCTAGATGCATGCTGTGGTTTTGTTTCCTTTGACACTGTCCTGAGCATCAACAAGGATCTAGTAGTTTAGAGAAAAGAACATAGGGCCAGATGACCAGTAGAAAGGTGGCATTCTGAACTTGGGTGACACTGTCCTCTAATAGTCAACCTCTCAGGTTGGGTATATTAAAGAAATGCCTGCGTTGATTTTTAGTCTAAGGAACATCAAGGAGCAATGACCAGCTGGGGGCCCTTGGGGCCTAGAACTTGACTGTATTAAAGAAGATATACCTGGGAATTGTGATTTCCAGTGTTTTGATTAGCTATTGCTGTGTAACAAACCACCCCAAAATGTAGTGACTTAAATAATGACTATTTTATTGTCTCCAATGATTCCAGGAGTTGACTAAGGTCAGCTGGGTGGTTCTTCTGCTCTGTGTGGTACTGCTTGGGTCAAATCTTGGGTCTTAACTGCACTTTAAGAACAAAGTTTGGCACAGGATACCAGCAGCCAGTAAGGATGCAGTCTGTCAAGAACTGGAGATGTAATTTCCTAACAGTATGTTGGGGGTACAGTGTCAGCCCTAGGAAAGTACTCAAACAAAATAAAGAACAGGGCTTGGAGGAATTCTGAAGCAGAGTAAAACCAATCTAAGATCACTGCCATCCCAAAACGTGACACATAGTCAGTCTGCAGTAAATATTTGTTGAAAGATTGAAGAAGGGTGAATAAATAAGTTTGGGGAACAACATTATGTGTTCTTTGGAATTCAATTCAACTTTTAAACATTTATGGACACCAGTTATAGTTAATATGAGTGAAACAAGAATAAGTAAGATAAATGCTTTCTTCATTGCTTACAGACAGGTTGTGAATTAGCCAATCTCTTGGGTCTCTATTCAGGACATACATGTATGTCCACTTTTAAATCAAGATCAATAGTCACAAGCTCTACCTGCTATTGTATATCTTGTATTTATTTTAAACTTAATTTTACCTTGGAAATGATTTCACATTAGATGGCCAACTATAAGCTATGTGTGGGCTTTTAAACTATCTTGAATCAATTTAGCAATTTGTTACAATTTTTTTTTTTTTGGTACCAGGGATAGAACTCGGGACCTTGGGCTTGCGAGGCAGGCCCCAGAACTACTGAGCTAAATCCTGGGCCCAATTTGTCACAATTTTAAAAAATGAAATAGGCTAGCTAATGAGAGTACATCACACACATTAAAATGAGAGATGTCTTGTGGAATTGTGTTTGTTATGGCAATCTATGTGTGCATGCGCAGTTTTACATGAGATAGAAAGTATTCCTTAATATGAGTTATAGTCAAAAGGTGTGAGATGCTGTATTAGTGGACGATGCTCTTTTGACTGAGACAGTCTGCAAAGATTATGGAAAAGGTGCCATTTGTGCTGGATCTTTAAGGACAGATATGGGTTGAGAAGAGGAGGAAGGAAGAAGTCCTCAGTGGAAGGAACTGAATGAGCAAAGCCACAGAGGTGTGGAAGCCCCAGACTAGCATAGTTGCACAATGCTGGTGCCTCTCTGTGCCTGTCTTGGTTACTAGGAGCAGGGCTCTCTTGGCCTCTGGAGGGGCCCCAAGGTGAGTTACACCCTACCTGTGTAAACTGCAGATGTATGGCCTTCAGTTGTGAATGTGGAGCTTTCATCCACCCTAATATTACAACCCAAGATAAAGCTCCTCACAACCATTGGCAAAGGGATAAAACCTACCCCATCTAGTTTTGCACTCCCAGAGCAGAGTATAAGTAGTCTGCAGGCTGAGTAGCTCTACAGAGAGACCCAGAGGAGTGTCTTGAGGAGCAGGACTTGACTATTCTATGAGGGAAGTCCCCCCATGTGGAAACATGAGGAGTGAGTAATATGAGTTTCCTTGCATGAGCTAACTGAAGCCACAGCCCACATTTTGTGTAAGTCCTCCAATATTCTGGCAGCTGAGCAGGAAGAGGCCCTAGGCCGGAGGGTATTTCTAGAATGCTATGCCCTCTCTTTAATTGTTTTCATAAACTGGCTCATGAGAAAGCCAAAAGTGTTGCTTATTTCTTCCCAGAATGCATCTGGAACAGGATACCAAGCTTTCCTTAGTAGGTTTCCATAGCCCCAGAGCCAGCCTGAAATGACTTGCAAATGTACACACTTCCCATTTTGGCAAGAGAAGACTATGCTCAGGAAGAAGCAGATGCACTGGCCCCTGACATAGTGTGAGCCAGGGAAAGGGGTTACGCCGGATCACACTGACAATCGTGCTGGCCTATTGAGCACCTCAGAGTACAGTGAGGTAGGAAGCAGTACAGTATTTGCAGTGCTGAGCCCTCTCAATCACTAGAGTTTCCACCCACTCCAGTTTATACACTGGAGTAAACTTTGAGAAACCTCAGGCTTCCCTCAGCCTGGAGATCAATGAAGGCAACAAAGCTGGCTGGGATCACAAATCTGCCCCTTCACTGCTAGACTTTAGGTGATTAGGGGAATGGGAATAGATGGAACTGGGTTTCCGAATTCTGGTAGAGTTGGTGCAATTGAGGAAAGGGAAAGCCAGACTGATTCAAAGGAAACCTGAGTTCTATTTAATAAGATAAATAGTTTCACCACTTTCATATTTGAATCATGATTCTAGCCAAGTCTTCCCACTACTGTGTCAATACAGGTTGGCTCTGATTCTCTATCTCTGTCTCCATCCCTGTCTCTCTCTAGCACTGGAGATTGAACCCAGGGGCTTGTCTGTGCTCTGCAAATGCTCTACCATTGAGCTACATCTCCAGCCAAGGGTGGCCTTGAAATTACAACCCCCCCTCCTTCAGTCTTCCAGATAGCTAGGATTATAGGAGTGCCCAACTGTGTCTGATTCATTGTCTTTTTATGTAAAGCTTAAAACTGGACCAAGTCTGAGTTCTCATGGCCATAGATACATTGCAAGATGAATTTCTGAGAGCAGAGGGGCCTGGGATAGAGATGACAGAGCTCAAATGTCCCTTGTCTTCACCCAGGGTGCATGTAGAGCACACATGAGCATGAGTGAGCTGTTGCCCAAGGATCTAGGAGCCACACATTTGACACAAGGTCTTAGGCAGCTGAACTCACATCTGCCATCAATTCTGAGAACTTCAACAAGATTTGAATGGTTTAGCTCTAAAGACATAGACATGGCCAAAAGAAGCTGCTTCTTCTTGATGCTTGACTATAGTCATAGCTCAGTCATGTCCTGATATGTTCCTTAGGGAAAGTGAATCCATGTTCACATAGCCTATGGAGGGCCACTTTCAGGCCCCATGGGAGATTCTCTGGAGTAGGAACACAGCTGAGGCTTTGTTTTCTGATGGGACGACTGTGATCACACCCAGCCAGCTGGGCCAGGCAGTACAGCTGGACTGCAGCTGTTGACATGAGTTGTAGGGGACCACAGTTAGGTCTCATCACAAGGCTATGTCAAAGTTCTTCTTTGTGTCTGTTGCCAAGGACTTAGACCCATTTGTCTCAGTTTGGGAGATTGAATCTAAGATCAACGTGAGGCAACCTGTTTCCAACAGCTTCACTTTCCAGGAGATGGTTCTCTCCTTATTTGTCATTGGCAGTTTGTCTTCCCTGTTCCTTCCCTCCTGAAAAAAAATGAAGCCAAAAACCTGAGTCCACAAAGACCTTGATAGAACAAGGGAGTGATAGAGGAACAATGGGGTAACATGGAAAGCGGAGCCCAGATGTGACCATCTCTGATGTGTCTACTCACTTGCTGACTCATTTTCTCATACATTCACTTGTACATGTGTTCACTCATTCTCTGACTAAATTAGTCATCCAGTAACCTTGTAATTTATCACGAATCCACTCATCCAAATGTTCATCATGCATTCAACCACTCACCACTTCACTATCTACCATCCAGCCATGACTATGCAAGCAGCCATCCATTCATCTAACAATCCAACTGTTCATCTGTGCAACTGTCCAATTATTCATTCAACACACATTTTAAAGGACTTATCTATGCTAAGTTTAAAAAAATGTAGGCAGTTTCTTCCAAGGGGCTCATGATACGCAAGGAAGGAAGACATAAGTATGAAAATATGACTCTATTAAACATAAGTATGAAAAACATGACTCTATTGTCTACATCTCAGTTTCTGTGTTAAGTCCATGTCTTTCTAGGCTAACAAAGAACTTTATTTTCCCTCAGTCATATTTCAAGACTTCCATTTTCTCCCCCAGCAGATGTGTGGAGACACTTGGGACTGCACAGTGCCAGAGTATTGTGGGGAAAAACTATCTTATCCTTAAGATATGCTTCACCCGAGTCTTCCTTGGATCTGGCTCCCCTGGCCCTGATGTGGTTTTCCGTTTGGGATACGGTCCTTTTTCTGCAAGGCTGCCCATAGCTGTATTTGCCTATGACAAAGTTTTTAATCTCAGTTGTATGTTGACATCAATAGAGGAGCTTTTGAAAAATACTGATGTTAAGGCTTCATCTTCCACCAATTAAATCAGAAACTTTAAAGACTGAGACCCTTCCTCTTCCTCCTGCCCTCCTCCCTCTCTTCCTCCTCCTTCACTTCCTTCTTCTTCCTCCTCTTTCTCTTCTCCTCCTCCTTTTCCTCCTTCTTCTTCCTCTTCTTCCTTCCTCCCCCTCCTCCTCTTTCTCTTTTGGTGACCCTTCTCAAGCCTCGTATACAGCAGGAATTACAGCTATATGCCGCCATGCCTGGCTGCACTTCACAGGCTTACCGATTACCTCTCCCAGAGTACTCAAATGTGTGGACAGAGTGTAAAGAAAGAGTGAAAAGTCCATACAAACCCCCCTGTCCCTCTCCTCTTTCCCTTTTCCTCCAGACTGGGCAAGGCAATGACTAGAGTGCCCCTACTTAGCCTGAGGATAATCTTCTCCTTTTTGTGTTTCAGATCACATAAAAATTGCTGTCTTTATCTATCTTTATTTATCTCTATCTCTCTCTGTGTGTGTGTGTGTGTGTGTGTGTGTGTGTGTGTGTGTGTGTGTACTCTATCTCTTTTCCCATCAAGATAGGCATAGGCAATGGCCAAAGATTCTGCTTTCTGCTTCTTGGGCAATGCTAAGGGGATGCATGTAATTAACTGAAGAAAAGGAAAGAAGAGAGAGACAAGAGAGAGAAGAGAAGAGGAGAGGAGGAAAAAGGAGTGAGTGAGGAGGGGAGAGAGAGAGAGAGAGAGAAGGACAAAAGTTATGCATAGTTGTACATGCCTGAAATCTAAGCACTCTTGGAGATGGAGGCAGGAGAATTGCAAGTTTGAGTACAGCCTAGGCAACTTAGTAAGACTTTGTCTCAAAATAAAAAGTAAAAAAGGGCTAGGAATTAGCTTAGTATGATGGTCCTAGGCTCAATCCCCAGCACTGGGAAAAGAAAAGATGAGTGCAGCAACCAATACCAGTGATGGGATGGATGCAGGCCTGCAGGGAAAGGGAAAAGTAAAAAGGTGGGTGTACTGGTTCTCCCTGCAGCAACTTGAGAGGGTTAGGAGAGGCACTTTTCAGAGGAGGAGGCATCTGCATCTTTGTCACCATCACATCGATCTCAACACTATTCCTCTAGTGATTCATTTATTTGATTCTGAGCCTCCCCACAATGTACTCATGTCTATTAACTTTTCTGTCCCTGACTCTGGCTCAGAACCAGGTCTGGAGATGGAGCCTGTGGCATGTGCATTAGGTAAAGAAAGGCGGTGAGAGGACATGATGGTCTCTCTGGGAAAGGACCCTGTTTCCCATTCAAGATCCCTACTACCTACCACTAAGTCACAGGCAGAGTGAGACAGCCAGCTTATGCTTTGCCCAGGTGGTGTGGATCACAGCCACGCTGCCTTACTTCGTGCTGTTTGTGCTCCTGGTCCATGGCATCACACTGCCCGGCGCCTCCAATGGCATCAGCGCCTACCTGCACATCGACTTCTACCGTCTGAAGGAAGCCACGGTAAGTCAATGCCCAGTGACTACCCAGCCTTGGGCCAGGGTGATGGGAGGGTTCTCAGTAGGGGTTGATGGTGGAAAAATCTGGCCCAAGCTTTGGTACAAACTTGGAGCTAACCTTGGAAAAGATCCCTCTCTGAGCAGGAGCTTGTCCATGTGATAAATGCAGTTTTGCACTGAAAGTCTCCATGAACCTGTTTGGCTCTGATGGTCTGGGCTTCTGTGGATCCATTTAGTGGCCTTCACAAACCACTCTTTGCAAGGAGAACCATACCTTGTGAAGGGGACATGATGTACTTGGTTACTTACTCCTGTCTGGTGCCCATGGCATATTACTTCATATCAACCATTCTTGTCTCATTTCTACTTTCTTAATCCTTAATCCTAGCCGTTGTCACCATCCTGTGTTTTCATTATAAAGAGCACCCTCTGCCACTGGGGGGAGATGGGCATGACACTTTTGTCCTGAAACAGCATCCTCCATCTTACCATCCTGCCCAGAGCCCCAAACTGCAATGAAGGAGGGTAAATTTGATGGCAGAATCCAATGTGGCAGCGTGAGAGTGGAACCAGAAACCTTTGCATCTTCAAATAATGGCTGGGCTTATTTCTAGCCTCCTCTTCCTTCCAGGACCACCTCAGGGAGAAAATCTCAACATTTTTTTTCTCACAATTCTCAAGGGATTCTTTACATTTTATTTCAATCCAAAGTGATACTGGCATGCAGGAACAACATAGTATTAGGAGGGAAGAACTTCAATGTGCTCTCCCATAATTCAAATCCCAATGCATCACTGTGTCATAGATCAATGACCAAGAGAAAACCCATTTCACTAGTAACTGTCAGAAAGATAGCAGAGCATAAGACAAGGTTCGGTTTTCAGACTTGCAAAACACAGCAGACTTCTACTTGTTCTGCAGTTGTTTAGCTCCTCCAAGGTGTTCAGATGTGTAGAAATGAAACTGTTAGTGTAGTCTCAAGGGGCAGATCTATTTTCTCTTATAAAATTATTCCTCTCATTATGCTGTTTGCAAAGTTGGGGAAACCTGGAATAATGCAAGTGGGGAGATGACAGAAATCATTTGCAGCTCTAAGTAGGGGTGGTATAATTATCCCCCACCATACAGATGAAGAAACTGAGGTATTAGAGAGATGAAACTGACCAGGGATAACCAATGAAACAGAGAAGCTGAAGAGAGGTTCAGGTCTTCAGACCTCCAGCCATGAGCTTTCATCACCAAAAGGATGGAGCAAGTAAATCTCATTGCTTCCCAGGACCTCCTTCCACAATGACCACTATCTGTGTGCTGGTAGAAGTTACTATGAATCATTATCCTTTTCTGTAAAAGTGTTCTCCAAAACTCCTGAAATGTCCAGACCCTTTGCTGTTGTCCCATCAATATTCTAGCCTACAGCTTGCAGTTTATTTACTTTCTTTGAAAATCAGTTTATTAATTTGATTCAGTGAGTTCCTCCAGGGAACTCATAAATATCTCAGGCTAGGAGATTCTAAGGAGACCTTAGCCTGTCTTGTGGGGAAAGGGAGTTTCCCTGACAGCCCATCTCTGCTTCAGACCATGTTCCTTGTTCTCAAAGTATCCCCAGGGCTTTCCAGCCTTTCCCAAGCACTGCGATAGTCTAAATATGTAGGAAGAAGAGATTAATGGCTTTTGTCTGCTGGTTTTAGGTGTGGATTGATGCTGCAACTCAGATATTTTTTTCCTTGGGGGCTGGATTTGGAGTATTGGTTGCATTTGCCAGTTACAACAAATTTGACAACAACTGTTACAGGTAAGCTTCTTCTTAGAACTATAGAAAATTGAATCCTGGGGACTGACCTTTGTGAGGACAGCAAAGAGAACTCTGATTTGTCTGAAAGCCAACTCTCCTTACACAAATCAAATTTTCTTCTTCTGGATAATCCCAGGCATTCTCAAACTGTGGTATGGTTTATGGGGTTCTAATGAGCACCATTCACTCAAGGATGATGCCTTTTTGAGTGTATTAGTCATCTTTCCCATGGCTGGGAAAAAATACCCAACACCTACACTTAAATGCAAAGAAGTTTAATTTGGATTACAGTTTTAGGGGGTTCAGTCCATGATTAGTTGGCTACAAGGCAGAAACTTCAGGGTAGAAGGGCATGGTGGAGAAGAGCTGTTCACTTATGGCAGCCAGGAAGCAGACAGGTAAGGAAGAACCTGGAAACAGGAATACCTCCTTCCAAATCATGCGACCAGTGACCTATGTCTTCTGACCAGGCTTCACCTCCAAACATATAAGACTTTTGGGGGACATTTCACATTTAAACCAAAGCACAAAGATGCCAAGCTGAGAAAGGTGAGATCACTATGGTTAGGATATCACAAAGATACATAGCTGAGACAGAGGTGTACAGTGTGCCTTTCAGAGCAAATGGTGGCACCTTGACTGTCCATTGGATGCTCCAACAGGCAGCGGTAGAATAATCAGGCTGGTGAGAACTGACTCCATTGGAAGTAAGACTGTAGGACAAACAGGGACTCAGAATACTTGTTCCAGATCAGATTAATAAACACTTACTGCTGCCTTCTCCAGGGCCAGGGTTATGAGGACTCCAGAGATAGGCAATTTGGGCTCACATTCATTAATCCATCCTAGAAGTAAGGTAGAATCAAGACAGATACAAGAAAGAGTAAAATAAAGAGTAGGATGAGTGCATGCAGCCTAGGAAGTTTTTAGGAGGTAAGGAAATAGGGTGGCTAGCCCCTTGGTAGGACACCAGCAAGAGCATGGAGGTGTATTTGAGGCAAAGCTAGGAGACTAGATAAGATTATGATAGGCAGGCATGGAATGGATGGTATATGTGGTGAGAAACAGCTTGAGCAAAGGCAAAAGAGGTAGTGCTTGTAGACCAGCAAGTTGACTGCTTTTGGTTTATTCAAAGAAATTACATTAGGAGTCATGAAAAATAAGCCTAAATAGAAGGTCATCTTAATAAAAGCTTTTAAATGAATGCTGAGGAGTTAGAGGCCTTGGGGAGCCATGGAAAATTTGCTTAATAAGGCTGATGAGTCGATTCCCTAACAAGAGTTTGACACTAGTCTCTGGTGTCAATAAACTGTCCACCTACTTCCTTCACCAGCAGGTTCTAATCCAGTAATTTATGGGGCTGGGTCCAGGTGGAAGCAAGGCAAGAGAAGGGGGGAAGTGCATTTGAGGCTGGGTCTAGGCTGCAGTTTCCATAGAAGACCAGGGGTCCATAAGCAGGTTTGGAGTGTGGGAGTCAGGTAGACTTAAACCAGCAGCATTTCTTTACTCCAGGGATGCCCTGCTGACCAGCACCATCAACTGTGTCACCAGCTTCATCTCTGGGTTCGCCATCTTCTCCATCCTTGGTTACATGGCCCATGAACACAAGGTCAACATTGAGGACGTTGCCACTGAAGGTAGGTGGGGACAGCACTTTGGCCTCAATCAAAGAAGGACAGGCTTGGAAAACCACCTGATTCCTGACCACACAGCTCTTCTGTGGTTATGGGACTATGAAAGCTGACCACAGATTTCTTCACTGCCTAGTTGATGGACTTTCCTTTGGGGCTGTCAGTGGAAATTCTAAGCCATTCTAGGCCCCGTGTATGTAACAGAACTTTCCTCTGTTTCAGGCTGGGAGAAAAAGATTTGGAGTTCCTATCCTATCGGTACCTGTGCTGAGCAGTTAACATATATCTTTGTCCATTTTTGGTACTAATACAAAACAGTCAAGGCCAAGTGATGTATACATGAAAGAGATTCTTTTAGTTTACACTTCTGGAAGTCTAAGAGCATGGTGCCAGTATCTACTGAGTTCTTGATGAGGGGTGAGGGCAATATACAGCTCAACTCAAAACCGAGAAGGAGGAGAATGGCTATGCGTAGGAGAGGACAAGCACATAGAGTGGTCACACTTTATAGCAACCCACTTTCAATAACCAATCCAATCTCTAGTGACAACCTAACAACCTAGTAGCCTCTTCATAGTTCCATCCCCTCTCTACTTTGCCATACTGGGGACAAAGCCACAATGTGAGTTTTGGTGGAGACAAACTGTATTCAAACCATAGAAATATACTTCTGTTTAGTTCTCCAAATGCTGTGAGGCAAGTGTTAATAGATTCCACTAAAAGGTAAGGAAACTAAGACTCAGGCTAAGTCTGTGGTCCAAGTCACCTTTCTGGTGAGCAATGGTGCCAGCATACAAATCCCAATAATCTGACCCTGGGACCTGTGGCCTTCTCTACTGCTTCCTAGATTCCTGTTGCTACAAAGAAGTTGAGGCCTTTGTAGGTTCTAATAGGTTCTCAGGACCATGAGTGTTTGAGAAACAGAGTGTATCTTTCATGGCATATAAGAGATGGGGGTCTCTAGATTGTAGCTTATAGCAATCCAAACAAAGTGCTGCTTTCTGCCTAGCTGTTTGAGGTCAGCCCCCTTGATGCACATATTGTATTAGTCAGCTTTCCATCACTGTACTGAGATAATCAAATTGAGATAATAATATTATTTAAAAGAAAGGTTTATTCTGACTCATGGTTTTGGAGGTTTCAGTCCATAATGGATTGAGCTTATTGCTTTAGGCCTGTAGCAAGGAAGCTCATCATGGTGGAGTAAATTCTTCATTTCATATCTGGGATACTAAAAAGAAAGAAGAAAGAAGGGTCAGAGTCTCACTATCCCCTCAGAGACACATCCTCAATGACTAGAAATCATCTTACTAGGGCTGACTTCTTAGAGTTTTCACCTCCCAGTAGTGCCAAGCTGGGGTCTAAGCCTTTAATACAAGGGCTTTTGGGAGACATTAATGATTGCAACACAAGCACAGGTGAACTATATGTCTCTATTGGCTTCATCTGTAGACTCTTGGTCTGCAGTGCTCACAAATGTTCTGGGGCTTGGTGAGAGCTGATTGGGCCTTGGAATGGTCCTCTCTCATCTGCATCTCTCATCAACAGTCCCAGCCATTGATGAAGTCCTTGATGTTTCTTACAGGAGCTGGTCTCGTGTTCATCCTATACCCAGAAGCCATTTCTACCCTGTCGGGATCTACATTCTGGGCCATCTTGTTTTTCATCATGCTCCTGACTCTGGGTCTTGACAGCTCAGTGAGTGACTCCGCTCAGGACAGCCCCTCCCTTCCCCTGGTTCTAACCCTCACCCCAGCACACACATAGTACTCAGCCTGAAATTCCCACCATTTGGACGGCTGCTTAGTAGCTTTTTCCAAAGGCCCTATTTAAATGCCAACAGGGAAATGGGCCTTCCTTCAAAGAGATAAGATCTAGTCAAAGTCAAGAACCAATGGTAACCCCATTAGCAACATGAAAATCAAAATCAGAAGGGATTTAAGATAAGTCAGCCTAACATCGTCCTCTTGCAGACAGAGAAATTCAGAGAAGACATGGATAGTCTCATTCTTTAACTAGGCACTTTCTCAATCATTTAGAGTTCACCATCAGTAAGCAACAAAAATACTTTGAACCTCATTCGTTTCTTAGATCCTTTTATGTTTCCTATATGTAAGTACAGATTTTCTGACATCTTTTTATGTCTGTGTCTACCTTCGGAGGTTTGCAAAAAGTCTTTGGGTGAGGCTGCCCAATAATTTCCTCTCCCTGCCTTGGCCTTTCAATTGCTAGACCCACAGAGATCAGTGTGTTGGAAAGGATTCTGAGGCTGCTTTCAGGCTCCTAGAGAAGAATCCTAGTTTTTATGAATAAAGTGTAATAGAGGAGGGGAGTGTGGGGTATGCTCACTTCTTGTCTGCTATAGCAGTGGCTCATAAGGAAGGTGTGTGCCCATAGTAGTGAGATGTGATACCCTTTTGTGCTCAAAGTCTTGGGTTTGAGGTGACCACTTTGCTTGATAATTAGAAAAACAGCCAAAAGTCTTAGGGTGCTTCATTGGTATGTGTTTCCAAAAGGTTCTATTTACATTCAAATGTGTTACCTACGTCCCTTTAGGCTCTATTAGCTTATCAGTCTCCATGGAGGCTGAATGAATGAGGAGGCAGGTGCTTGTTACTAGAAACATATCAGAGTTCATTTATGTCTTCACCTTCCCACGTACTTTCTGAGTTAGGTTGAAATCAAGGCAGAAAAGGGAAGAGGAGATGGGGAGAAAGGCAGGGATCAGTGAGTAGCCAGGGTGCCTGAGTCTCAGGCCTCAGCAAGTACTTGGTAGAGCCTCATTTCTGCTTCCCATCCACCTCGTTCCCTCCAGATGGGAGGCATGGAAGCAGTCATCACAGGCCTGGCTGATGACTTCCAAGTCCTGAAGCGACACCGGAAACTCTTCACATTGGGTGTCACCCTTAGCACCTTCCTTATGGCCCTGTTTTGCATAACCAAGGTAAGGAGGAGTTGGGCTTCTCAGACTGCATTTTAATAAAGTTAAGGCATTTCCAGACTTGGAGCTGGGGTGGTTGGGGGTAGGCTGAGTCCAGGGAGATATGTGGAAGAAGGGCTGGCATCATCCTCAATTCTGTGGCCTGTTCCCCTCTGGGTAGACCCATGGCTATCTCCTTCACCTTTGCCTGAGGATTTCTAGGCAGCCCTGTTAACTGCTTATTGATTTTGGGCAGCAAAAATCCCTTTGAAACTCATCTCACTGTACATACGTTGAAAAACCTACCTTTAGATCCAGAGGACTTAGAAAACAACCCAAACCTTGTCACCTGAGTTCTCAGACAGTTCTGAACAGGTGGGGCAGGAGACAAGTAAGAGTTGATGGATACAGTGGTTCTAGTCAAAGATGGCCTCTTTTCTCTCTGTGGCCTAGGGTGGAATTTACGTCCTGACTCTACTGGACACCTTTGCAGCAGGCACCTCCATCCTGTTTGCAGTGCTCGTAGAAGCCATTGGAGTTTCCTGGTTTTATGGTACGTGAGCGTGTAGCAAAGCCTTGGTCCCCAGTGCTCATGGAGCCCCTTTCCTGGAGATGCGAAAGGGCTGTCTGTTCCCAGGGCAGCCCCTGGATCTCCAGAGGTGAGCAGGCCGCTTATTGAGAATAAATCTTCCTAAATTCAGCTCATCTTTAAACACACTCCCTTTAGTTGGAGGCTACAAACACTTCTGAAGGAGCTCAGTGTCAGCTTTTGGGGAGGAGCCCAAAAGAATCTGTAGGTCCTCAAGTGATGGAATTCATTCTGGTATAGGGTTGCCAGATTTAGCAAACAAAACACAGGATGCCCAGTTAAACTTGAATTTCAGATAAAAAAGGAATAGTTGGGCTTTTTTTTTAGTATAAGTATATCCCAAATATTGCATGGGACATACTTATGTTAATGTTTTCCCATTTACAGTATTTATATGAATTTCAAACTGAACTGAGTACCCTGTATTTTGTCTGGTAAACTTATTCTAGAGCCAAGCTGAGAAAATAATTGTTGACCTCCTTTACCCCATGTCAGACATCAATGTTAGCCCTGGGTTTTCTTTTTCCCCTTTGGGAAGGGTTAAGAAGGGATGCAATGTAAGAACCTAACCTCTTCTATGTGATTGCAGTCAGGATTTTACATGTGCATACACCTGAGTACAATGACTGTGTGTACAGAGTTGCCATTTTCCAAGAGAGAGTGAGCAAGAAGGAAAAGCTGGGATTCTGAGCCAGGGCAACCAGGCTCTTTAGGCTGAGGCAAGCTCCCTTCACACTGATTTCCCTCTTACAAGTTAATTGCGGTGAAGCATAAAGGGTGACACTGTCCTTGAGTTTGTCCTCTTTCTCGTTCTGAATCAGCGAAGTGCCTGGCCCCTAGGTCTTCCAAGTCCCAGCAGTTCACTGCCTTGATGTCCACCTGATGGCCAGAACCTCATGGGTCTTGGGGCCCAAGTCTGTTCTGGGCCACCATAAGGGGCCTTTTCTATGTGTACAGGTGTGGACAGGTTCAGCAATGACATCCAGCAGATGATGGGGTTTAAGCCGGGACTGTACTGGAGATTGTGCTGGAAGTTCTTCAGCCCAGCCTTCCTCCTGGTATGTAGCTTGTGTCCAGGGTGTGTTCAGGGGGGTGGGTGGGGTGGGAATATTGGCTTCTTAGGGGAGGAGTCACTGGGATCTAGAAGACCTGGTCATGTAGACAGGACCACTGGAATGCTTAGCCTGTTGGTTGGTACCATGGTGGGCTTCAAACTTAGCAGGGGTCTCCAGCTTGGGGCCAAGCCCCTGGGAGACTTGTGCTAGCTTTAAAGTTACCATTCTGTTCTTACTCTTCTTTCCTTGCCCCATTTTGTCTTTGCCTCCTTTTTATTGTCATTTGCTTCTTGAATTCTTTCTCTGTGTCCTTTCTCACTTTGTCCTTTCCCTATAACCCACTTCACTAACTGCTTTTCATTTCTCTACCTTTCTCTGGTTGTCTCTCCTTTTACCTTCTCCTTCCTTTGCTCTGCCTGTCTCTCTCCTCCTTTCCACCCCTCTCTTCCCCTCCCCACCTTTCTTTTGCTCTTCTTCCTCCTAGTTTGTGGTGGTGGTCAGCATCATCAACTTCAAACCACTCACCTATGATGACTACGTCTTCCCTGCCTGGGCCAACTGGGTTGGGTGGGCCATTTCCCTCTCATCCATGGCCCTGGTTCCTGCCTACATCATCTACAAGTGCCTCAGCACGCCGGGCTCTCTTCGAGAGGTGAGCTCTGGGCCAGCCACAGTGGTTGGGGGGTGGGACAGAATAGTACAGGAGGTGGCTTTCCTTGGTGGTCAGACAACCAGCTCATTGACCAAGTTCCTATCTCACTGAGCCTCAGTTTCCATATCTGTAACCTGAGGCTAACATTGTGTACCTTGATAAGGAAAAGGAAGCACTTAGGACAGTGCCTGGCACCCTACACCCCAGGAGGCCTTCTCTGACCTCATGCAGAGCTGGTTACTCCTGTTCACATTCTCACTGTGACATTTACTGGTTTACAGTGTACAGTGTGCCAGTCCCTTTCCTGGCTGTCAGCTCCCCCAGACACAGAGACTGCAGGGTTCCTTCAGGTCAGGGTCCACAGGCCCGGCCAGTGATGACCACAGCAGGTAGCTTGAGAAACAGTCACTGGATGTGTGATTCAAAGTACATTGACCAGCTTCCCAAACAAGGGTGGGCTGGTGTGGGTGTCTTAAATAGATCTATGTGTGGCTTCAGGTCCAAATGTCAGGAGACCAAATCACAGGTGTCAGCTGGGGTGTGGGAAAGGTGTTCCAGGACCAGACTAAGGCCTCCTCCTTCTTCCTTGCAGAGACTGGCTTATGGCGTCACACCAGAGAATGAGCACCACCTGGTGGCCCAGAGGGAAATCAGGCAGTTCCAGGTAGATGCAGCCTGAATGACTGGGGCAGGGCCTGGGGCCTGGGGTGGTCCCTGGAAACTCCCAGCTGTGTGCCCAAGGCAGGACCTCACAACCAGAAAACCCAGCATGTCTGTGGGCTGTGGTGTTGGGGTGGCGGAGGAGAGGGGCCTGTGCTCTGCTTTACCCAGCCTCCTCCTGCCCGTCTGCTCCTTGGTTCTGGGTCACCAAATGCCCAGTTTCTCCTACAACTTCTGAGTTGTCACTATGGAGTGTCATCAAACTAGGCTGAACCCTAATCCTTCTCTTTTCCCTTAAAATGTCAGCATTCAGGGCTGAGGAGGCTCTTGGTGTGTAATAAGGGTCACCCATGCATCCTGCTTTGTACTTTCTGGGCCACAGTAACAAGTAGAGCATCAAACTGTTTGTACTCCAAGGGCTATGTAAGGATGGGACTGTTTGTTCTGCCTCCTCTTAGCTTCCTGCCACCCAGCTAGCCTTTGTCCCCTTGAACACCACCTGCCCTGGCCCTGTCATTGAGACTTTGCCATCTTTCTCTGCAGTTGCAACATTGGCTGGCCATCTGAATCTGACCCTGAGGAGGAGGAACCCACCGTGCCCAGGTCCGGGTCAAAGACCGCTGCTTCGCTCCCACCCTGGACACTGTCTTGGAATTCTTCTCCCAGAAGATGCCCTTTCCAACCTCTTCTTTTCTTGATTACAAATGACAGTGACAATGATTTTTGTTTGCCTCTGTTCATCTGGCCTAGGGCCTGTGAGTGTGAAGGATTGGTGAGCTTCAAGGAGGAGGAAGCAGTAAAAATGACTTGTGGGAACCCTGATTTGGTGGGAGAGTGGATCTCACCACTTTGAAATTCCACTCAAGCTAAAATTCATGGCTCAGTTAGACTCTTCTACCACATTTACTTGTACTTTGGGCCGCAGAAGAAAACCTCATTTCACCCAATCTGAGATAGGATGGGCTTTAGATCAGACACCAAATGCCATCAAAAAGTCTAGCTCAGTTTGGTGTACAAATGTACAGATGGGGGATCATAGGTCTCCCTGTCTTGCTCACCCCAGTCAGCATTCTGGTGTCTGAACCTCATTTTGGGAATTTCAATTTATTTGCCTCTAAAATGAAATCACCAGAATGATGCTTTGGGGGCCTTGAGCAGAAACCTTCATAGTTTTCATTCTGGCTATCTGAACTTGATTTGTTTATGATTGAGAATGTTCCATCTGATGTTCAGATGGTCCACAGCCATGGATGTCAGGGAAGGAATGTAGGTGAACCAGAGTGAGCAGGGTCCCCAAAATATCTGTACTAGGTAGAGGCCACTTGGTCAACCATGTGTACTGAAGCCACATGCTAGTTCTGTGAGGCACATGGGATCCTTAAAACCCATTGGTGGTTCTTGAGATCTTGGGGAAATGAGACAGGAACTTGGGGAAGCCAAATGTGTGGCTACACCACAGGACTCTGCTGTCCTTATGGGACCAAGTGGGTGACAAACTGTCCTGGCTATTTACTGTTCACAGACATCAGGAAAGCCTTACCTGGGTATCTCAGCACATACCAGGGGTCCTGAGTGCTAGGGAGTTGACCCTGAAAACTCCCTTTGTCTCTTGTCAAGGATTAGGAACTTTGGGGATGTAGGCACTTTGGGGATGACATCCCAATCACTCAAATTGAGAAAATATTCTTAGTAGGAAAACAGGTTGGTGGATTTAGGGCATTCCTAGGTTTACTTCTGATAAAACTCTCAAGTGGTGGTGGTTAGTTTCAGTTCTGTGAGAAATTATTGGTGATTTGGAAAAATTGGGATTCAGTTGAGATTTCTGTTTATGAGTTGAGTCTCTTATGAACTCATTGGGAATCTAAAATTGTGGGTTCCTATTTTGACTGTGGGAGCCCCTATAGCACATGAGATCACTTCACTTACCCTGGGAGTATGGGGGGCACATTGAGAATGTGCTGTAGCTAAAGCCAGGACATCTGTGAACCCCTCAATGCCGTGAGAAGAGGGATGGGTGGAGCCATTTGGAGAGAGAGATGACTTATTTCTGAGAGCTCTGGGGTTTTTCTGCTGAATCAAGACCTTTAAGTCATTCTTTAGAGAATAAAGAGAGGAAATGAGCAGTCTTTTGATCTTTCATTTTAAAAAGGCCAGCTTAAGGCCTGAGATTGCCTAAGTGGAACATGTGTTAGGCCCTTGGGAAAGATGAGGCCAGGTGCACACAAATGGAGTGGATCAGGTGCTGGTCTGGACCCCTTAACTCCTTCTATGAGTGATAATTACTTCCTAAGTGTTATTTTTTTTTTTCAAAAAAACAAAGCACTTTCACCATGTTGCCTCCCAGCTGCCTCATGAGTACAGCAGGGCTGGCTCCTATTTCCCCACTTCCCTGATGAGAAAACTAAGACCTGACATTTCAGTTCATGTTGCTCAAGGACTGGCCTCCCAGTAACTGAGTTGGTACTCACTTCATGCATAACCTCAGCTCTAGCCCATAGAACTCGGGAATACCCTCACCTTACCATCCATCCCACCTGGGCTGTCATGAGAAAAAGACCATGCAGAAATCCACTCAAAAGCAAAGGAGTACTTTTTAAGCTAAATAACAATGCACTGGAACAAAAGGAAGAGGGGAAAGAGTGGCATTCATTTTTACCTAGCTGGTTTCTAGACAGGAAATTATTTAGCTGCCACATGCTCTTTTAATGAAAATAAACACTCTTTGAACAGTGGGACCTGAGAAGCTAAATCCACTTGGATGACCTGAGCACCCACTCAGAAAGGCCCATGTGCATTAGTTCACAGGCAGCCTGCTATTTTTTCCTTAGTCACTTGCATGTAGTCCTTCTGCCTGCAGACATTGTCCTAGTCAGAGGAGTGGTGCTAGCTGAATGAACATCAAACCAATGCCATGGTGCTGCCTCGTGGTGAAGTTGGCTCCTGAGTCTGGGGTAGATGGAGAGGTTCCCCGTCCCAATCCCAGGTTCCCTGGGAAGACAGGGCTACCCAGAGTGGCCTTGAACGTTCTCACAGAGGTTCTGGGAGACCATCAGGGTTTACCTTTCCACCTACATGTAATTGTGAAAGATTATGTGCTTCATCCTAAGTAATGCTTGACTTCTTTTTTGTAATCTTTTTTTAATAAGAGAAGTCACCCAGGACCAGGGTGCCCCTGTGTACTGTATATGACACTTGACACTTTTTGATATTTTACTAGATTTTTAAAGAATTATTATTTTTCATGAATTGTAAGGTATCTGTTTAAGACCATCACGTTGATATCCTTCTACTCAATGTCTAGTTATTTAGCATTTACATGTTACTCTTTATTCTAGATGCAAATGAAACAAAAGGAAAGGAGAGCTGCCAACTCTTGCCAAATATCTTGCTGAAAATAATTCTCTAATCTGCCTTAATTCTAAGAGAGGAGAGAGAGGTTCTTGCCCAGATGGGAGCCTGTCTCTTGCCATGTGATCTGTTTTCCATCTTTCATCATGTAAAAACTGAAGCATTCTTACTGAAGAAGTCATCACTTAGTAAAGAATCCCACTGGACTCATTTTATATGTTTGTTAACTTCCTTTGAAAGGCACAGAGCGTAATAGGACACAGGGTATACAGTGTGGTGGAAAAGCAGAGCATTTAGAATTGTACACACCTAGGTCTGCAGCTGCCTAGCTGGGTGGCCTAGGAAGAAGAGCTTCACACCTTTTCGGCTCAAGGTTCTTTGTCTGCAAAATCAGAGATGGTATTAGATAATGAAAGGTCCTATCCAATTAAAAACAAACAAGCCACAACACCTTTATATCTTCATGACAGTATTCTTGTGCTAAATTTACAAGGAAGAAAATACATCACTTGCTCTAGGATTTTCCAAAATGAACCTCAACCATGGGCAGACTGCTTAGAAATATCAGATTTCTGGCCTCTAGAATTTTGATTTTTTTTTTTTAGACATTCAGTAGTTCCTCTTTCTCAAATATTTCTCCAGCTGATGCCAGAAATACTTGGTATTCGAATGAAAAAGATAACATCACCCCTTCTCTTTGTAGAACTGGAGCATGACACTCGCTCATGCCCATGGACAGCATGACTGCACTGGTGACTGTAAAGACACTGTGGGGGTGCCTGCCCGTGCGTCTCTGTCTCTCTGCTTTTGTGAAAATGCAGACTATTTCAATCTTGTCCTCTCTGTTACATGGGTGTTCTAGCGTCCTGCAAATCTCTTCTGTCTGATTTGGATTTATTTTAAAAGTTGTTGTCTTCATGGAAAAATAAATGTAAAAAATAATAAATGATATTTCCTGTGCCATGTATCTGGTTATGAATTTTTGAGTGCATGTTTCCATGAAGGCCAAATGCTGTGAATTATTTGAGACAAGTGGGTTTATGATCAGCCTCCAGCTAGCAAAGAAGAGCTTTTGGTCATAGCTGCCCACTTGATAGCCAAATACCTTTTTTTAAAAAAAAATCACTTGTGGAACTGGAGACTATAGGGGGTTAAATCTGAAATCTTAGCCCTGAGACGGACACACTGTGTGTGTGTGTGTGTGTGTGTGTGTGTGTGTGTGTTGCTAGAGATTGAGTTGCACCACCAGCCTGACACATATTTTGATTTAATTACAAAGTGGATACCAAGGGACAGCAGGCTTAGCTATCTAGTTTTGATTTGTTTGTCCATCTCTAGGGCTGACTTTCAAGGGACTAAGACCTTCAGTTGGATTGAACTGAATGTGCAATTTAGTGCATGTATGTATTTTTCATGAAAGAGGGATATTGTTGCACTCAGGCCCTGGGAGCTTAGCACTGGTCTGGGGAAGATGTAAACTGACAGAGCCTTGTTTTTAATGAACATCAGCAGGTGCATGATGACACCATTCTCCAAGAGGTGTCCAAATAACTAGACATTGAGTAGAAGGATGTCAGTGTGATGTCTTAAATAGATGTCTTACATTTCATGGAAAATAATAATTCTTTAAAAACCTAGTAAAATATCAAATAAAAATTTAGTCCCCCAAGTTTGTGAGGGTTGCCAGGGACTTGGTGCTGGGTCCCAGGGCTGAAAGGAGGTCAACAGTAGGAAGTCTGAGGAGTCAGCTTGCAAGATTAGACCAGAACGGAGAATAGACCATTGCTGGAAGTGGTGAACTCCTCAGCTTTGGAGATGTGTAATCAGATAGCAGAAGAGGTCCAGGGATATGATGGAGGGAGGTGGAAGAGAGATGTTGCAGGTCCTCTGAGGTCTCTCCTGTTCAGGGCTTCTGAGTTCTCTTTGGACAACTATAAACCCAGCCTGGGGTGCAGCAATGGGAGGGGAAAATACATGCTTGCCAAGGATCCTGGGGCAAAGAATAGTTTAGTCCATCATAGTGGGGTTTGGCAGGCATCCCAGAGAGAGTAGTATGATTCCAATCATTTGTTTCAATGCAGCACTGGAGTTCAGGTGTAGCTCACACAAAAAGGCAGCTGTGTTTCTGGCATTTCTCTGTGCTTGAGAATGTGGGGTTCAGAGGTGGCCAGAAGGGTAGGAGAGCTCTTCTGGGGGTGAGGATGGGTCCGGCAACCCAGGATACCTCCCTGTCACTAAGTTGATAAATGTGATGAGAGAAGCCAGAGCAACACAGTGAACACGAGTCTCACTTTCAGCACCTGGTGGGCTTTTGAACTTTCCCAAATTTAATAACATCCTGTCCTGCATGAGGAGGTTAGCTAGCTTCATTGATATCTGCTTCCCAAAGGCACTGATAAGTGCAGTCTCTCTCCAGGCCTCACCTCATTCATCTGAACAAAGGATTAGGAGTCATCAAAACTGAATGTTCATGGATGAGCTTCCTGACATTTCAGACCCTTCTGAGATTCAGTGTAAAATTTTGTTTGGATGAGACCATGTCCAATTTTCTGAGGAAAGGATGTATACATCTACCAGACTGTCAAATTTTTAAAACTCACAGGTATATACAGTTGGATCGCTTTAGTTGGAGGGTTAATATCTGCAGATTCAACCTACTGAAGGTTGAAAATACCAAAAAAATGTGTTTGTGCTGAACATATACAGACTTTTTCTTGTCATTGTTCTCTAAACAGTACAAAGCATTTACGTTGTATTGGGTATGACAGGTAGCCTGGAGATGACTTAAAGTACATGGGGGAGATGTGAGTAGGTTATATACCAACACTACACCATTTTATGTAAGGGACTTGAACATTCACTGATGTTAGTATCCATGAAGGTTTCTGGACCCAATACCTCAAGGATACGAAGGAATGACTGTGTCACTTTGGGGGCCTTTCTCTTCTGATGGGACCTGGCATTAGTCTCTGCCCACAGCCCATACTACATGAGGGTATCAGTGCAGTGTGTTTCTGCATCCCCATCACCTGAATTATTCTGAATTTTCATTTCAATCCATACCACTTTGGACACCTTGCTTGCTCTCCTCCTGATGACAATCCTGTGAGGCAGCAGGGTCAGGAGCGAGATGCCCAGTAGAGAGATGAGGCATTTGAGGCTGGAGTTGAGAAGTGACTCACCGAAAGTCACACAGTGGCTGAAGGACACTCAAGTCCTGAGGATCTCGGTCAATACTCTCCTCATTATTTCCATTGTCCTTTGGAAATAAAATAGGGTTAGGGATCTGGCAAGTCCTGACAGGTGCCCAAGATCTGTAGGAAAGGACAGCAGGATTGTAAGGAGGAGGATTGTAAGGGGCTAGTTGTAGGGATCTGGAAAGATCACTTTGTTACATAGCCCGAGGAGGACTGTCCAAGTAGGTCTGGATGGATCACTAAGGTAAGGGGTCAAAACTATTGAAAAGTTTTGCATCCCTAGCACTCACTTTAAACCAGCTACTCCTATGTTATGATTGAGTCATGTTGAACAAATTATCAATAAGTCTTGGCCTTTCTATCTGTAAAATGAAAATATTGGGCTGGGGGATTTTCTGAAGTCCATTCTGTTTTTAACTCTGTAAGATACTCTGGAAGAGTTGTCACAGAGCTGATGGACTGATTCATACTACAAGGAAAAGGACTGCTTCAACAGGCAGACACTGACTGGCTGAAGGGGGAACAGCTGGCTTTTATCCATATTATAGGTTTAGTGTGGGTATCCACAAACTTTCTCTGTAAAGATCTCTGTTAGAACTACTCTGCTTTTGTAGCATGAAAGGAAAATTATCTAAGACAAGTTGTGGGCTGGATTATAGATGAAGTCTGGTTTGCAGATATTTGGTTGA